ATGTACCCGTATAGTTGATGTTATGTTATTATGGTTTGCGTGTGTGTTCGGATACATTATTGGATATGGTTGAAGCACGAATAAGATACATACGATGAGATTATTAAGCTTAGAAATCAAAAAAAAATGAGAGAACTTTTTGATGCCAAATGGGTGGAATTTAAAATATTTTTTTGAATGTTTAAAACGTGCAGATTTGAGGATATTTACAAGATGGCATGAAGAAGCTTCGATCGATTTTCATGAATAATTTACAGACAATTTTCAAAAAATAAATTGATTTTTAACATTAAATTCCTAAACATGTCAATAGTTAAAACATTTTACAAGCAAAAATATTTTTCAAGTACATTTTAAAGCACGTCCAATCCATTCCACATCCCAAGCATCATCATCTCAATATGTATCTCAGAAAAAACATGAAATTATTTCAATATTAATCCCAATTGTAGCCTAAATAAATCTCTTTTACCATTCAATAGACATGCTACAAGTCCCAAAGAGAGAATTTTCATGACAATTTTTTGATTTAGTGGATAGATATTAATACGTTATGGTACCGTATCCTGTGAATTTAAGGATGTTAATGGAAGATTTGAGAAAGAGTTTTTGTGGGCTTTAAGCGCATTTTCGGAATGATTTTAATCCGCAGGTCTTGCAGATCTGTTGGATCCTTTGAACTTCTATAGATGGCCACAAAAGCTAGCTCTTTTAATGATTACTGCTTGCCATTTAGCATTTACTTCCCCTAATAACCGATTGACTTGTTGTTTTTACGTCCAAAGATATAAGCTGCATATTAAGGACAGTTGGATAGAGTTGAGTGGCTTTGTTGACATCTCAAAGACACTGAAGAGACTTTTCATGCACTCAGGACTAAAACGCGTGACAAGAACTCAGTAAAAGCACTAGCCAAGTGTGATTCTTTGGGTTTAAAACCTAGTTTTATTCGGAAACTTCTTCAAATTTGTTTGGATTTTTTTAAGAATTTTTTTCTTAAGTCTCCTCGTCTAGAGACACCTTTGGTTCTGATTAAGACTACCTAGCAGATGTAATTCGGAAAACTCAACAATAAATCCTGAAAAAAAAATTTTAAAACAATTTTAAAAATGTCATAAAATATTAAAAACCAATCAAAATTTTCATCATTTTTGGAAGAAAAAAAATCTAAGCTGCCTTATTGAACTTAAGCAACTTTATAACTATTTCCATAACTTCATTTTATTTTATAGATATAATCTTTTTTTGTCTCTCATTTTCAATATAAACAATTTTTTTGTGTCATTATAACTTTTCATGTTCCTTCTTTTTCCATTTATTTATTTTTTTTTTGTGGAAAATTCACATTTGTCTCTATAACATTTATAAAGCTTTTTTGAAGTGAGCATGAAGCAATTTTTTTTTGTATGTCTCGTTACATATATTTAATGTATTTTTCTGTTGTCATTATTTTCTCTGTTACATAAATAAATAAATTATTTTAGTTTTCTCATTTTTTTTGTAACAATAATAATATCTCTCTGGTTATACTTTTTATGTGTGTTCTGTTGTCTCTTTAATATTGTAAAAAATATATCATTACCCTCAACAAATTTATTGCATTAAATGCGCATAACACAAACACGACTGCGCACTTTGTGCGAAACGCTTCTAGAATTTTTTATTTTATTTTTTAAAGGACGTTCACTTTAAATTCTTTATTTTTGGTTTGGTTTATGATCAACAAATTTCTAATTTCTTTTTTCCTAATTAAAAAAATTTAATTTTATTTATTGAATTTCTTTTAAAACAATTTAATTGTTCAACCAATTGTCTATGACAAAAAATCATTGTATATCGTATTGGAAGTCATTTTAGGGGATGATTTGGTGAATCTATAACAAAACTCATACCCAGATGAGTTGAACTCTATAACATTTATAAAGCTAGAAAGCTTCTTACTAGATTTAACCTAGATTTGAACCCAGAACCTTTGACTCAGAATGCCAATGCTCTATATAACGGATCCCACGCAGGATTCGAACCCAAGTCCTACGATTTTCGGTCGCATGCGCCTACCACTGAGCTGTCGGCGACTATTCAACTAAATGGCTAAATGACATATTTAATTTAAATCCTTTTATGTCTCTACTTTCTGCGCCTAATGATCTAAGTCTTAACACTGTCAAGGGCATAATTATCATATCTCAACATTTAACAATTAAACCACTGATGTCATTTCATTACGTCCTTATGATTAACAACATTTTTCTCACTCCCAAAGCAACGACATCCATCACCAACATCCCCCTTAAAAAAATAACTTCCACCTCCATATACTAAAATTATCATTATTTTTAATATTAAATCCTTACTTGACATTTTCTAATAAAATATATATTTATACAAAGAGATTAAGGTAGATTAATGAAATGACACGATAATCCACAGGTTGATAATAGAAGTGAGAAAGTTAGCGAATGATTGAGCAAGCGAGGGAATTTACAAATCATTTTATTTAATTACTATAGTTTTGCAATTTAAATCAACATGAAAAATGCTGTAGCTTTTGGTCATTAAAATAAACAAAAAAAATATATATAAATAATACCACAGACGGTGCACGAAAAAAAAAAGAATGAACAATTTTATATTGCTGGCGTTTAGCAAAGACAGTTCATCATATAAATTCGTGAAAAAAACTGAATGGAATGTGGAAATTTGAGCGCATCTTAATAATTAAGCTTATTTTTTATTGAGAATAAATAAAATAACGTAAATTGATCCCAGGTTATTCACAGAAAGGAGTCGATTTTCGAAGGTCGTATTTTATGGAGCAGGTTTTGATGATTAGACAGTAGTGCGCCTATTAATCGCTGTGAAGATGAAGTGTGGAATTTTTTTTTGAGATTGTTAAAAAATAGTCTAAAATCTGAGGATCTGACTCAGGACATAAGAGATATTCGGAAGGGGGTTCAGTAAGGTTTAAAGCTTTATTTCAAACTTAGTGTGGCTGGTTTGCATTTTTTGACTAGGTTTTGATCCCTTCAAGGGATGTTCTAGATTTAAAATTCAAAGATTTGTAATTTCTAGGTTTTATAGGCTCCATCAGCGCTCCTCATCCTGAACACACCACTGATCTGACTAATTAAAATGCTCTAAACAGCATGAAATCAAATAAAATTTTAGTGGTGACATTTTGGGTATCAGTAGCTATCTCGAATTTAATGGTTGAATTCTTATTCATTAATATTTTTTTAATTTTTGAAAAATTGCCAATTTTAAAATTTTTATAATTTTACTGCATTTTGCTTTGAAAAAATGATGAATGAATTTTTTAAAATTGGAAAAAAAAATTTAATTTCATACAACTGACAATTGACTGCCCCATATTTTCTCAATACACAAAGCACATGTCACATACACAAAAAATGTGTTGCATGGATAATGGAGCATGCTATTCATGTCCTATATAATTTAAAATTAATGACATTTTTGTTTGAAAATCAATTAAGGAGTTTTGCATGTTTGTGTGTGATTGACAGATATAAATTCATTTGTTTGGAAAAATTATCATAATTGAACAGTTTGTTTTGTTTACTCATATGATGAAGGATTATTCTCAACAATACTAATTGTGGGGGCGTAGCTAGGAATTTTTCAAAATTATTTTTTATTTTTTTTCGATAAGCTTTGACTAAGAAAACTAGAAAATCTAAAATTATTTCCAAAACTCTTAATATTTCAGGAATACATAAGTTTAAGTAAGAAAATTTTAAACTATTGAAATGCTAATTATTAAAATGGAGACAAAATCTAGAAACTAAGTTATTTTAAAACTTCTTTAAATTTAAAATCCAAATTTTTATTACTTTTCAGTTTAGCATAATCAAATGTCATTCTATAGTTTAGAATATAGATACTTTAATATTAATAAATAGGAAAAACTAGTGATTACTAGTGCTTACTCATGTAAATGTAGCTCAAAGTCGATGTAAAATCCAACAAAATCGAGCTCAAAATTTGGAAGAATAAATTTTATTAAAAATAATAAAAACTGGTCCATAACTTTAACTTTAGGTAAAAACCTCTTGTAGTTGCCTTACAATATTGAATAACAATCAATTGACTTTCTCAAAATCAATCATTTGTTCCTACTTTGGAGTGCGCGAAAAACAAAAGTGCGGTGAGCGGCATTAAAAAGCCAAACATTTTCAGTCCAGGAACTTCCAATAATTCCAAATAAAATTTCATTAATCTACCTTTTTTACATCCCAAACAATCAAATTTATTTTTTCTTCCTGTAAGGATTTTTTTTTCAAATTATTGCTGCTAATTTTTCACTAAATGTATCAAATTTTGTATGATTTCTAATCATTTCAAATTTTTTTTAAGCACCGTATATAACGCCAAATATTTAAAATTCCCAATTTTCTTGCAATTTCATCTGCAAGTTTCCAATCAACAAATTTCTTTCAATATTTTCAACAAACATTTTTTTTCTTTTGAATTTTTATGGATTTTTGGAGAAGTTCTGTTAGGTTTTTGTAATAATCTAAGGATTAGGGTTCAGGTTTTGGGCGGATTCATCATTTGAGGAACCTGAACTAACAAATTGGACTGGATTACTAGGTTTCGAACTTTAAAACAACTTTTTCAAAGACCGCTAGTGTCTTACGTCCAATTTTTATAAGGACAACCTAATCAAAAACCTTTTTAAAAAGGTCTTCTTATAAATAGCGCCTACGTTAGAGTTTGAACTTCAGACAACCAGTGCCATATGTTCATTATTATTGTACTGTCATACAGCATAAGTGTTTTGAAAATGTAGGACGTAAATTGGACGTTATTTAAGATTGACACCTTTATAAAATGAGAAAGTTCTTTCAAAGATATTGGGCGGATTGGTCTTATTAGTGAGTTCAAGTGATAAATTGTAAAAGAAGTGTTATGACTCTGTCCTTGGTGTTATTTCTAGTAGCGGAAGCTCTTTGCACGATTATAGATTTTCATTATACTGGAAAGAGCTATTCTATGCATGACAATACATGAATTATCAAGATTAGAACTAGCCAAAAAAGCACACATTTCACTATCATGAACCGTCAACGATCGATCATTGATCGTGGTCGCTAAAAATCGAGCAAAATCGACCAATGATCGAACGAAACGAGTCGACCAAAATTTTTAAAAGTGATCTAAATGATCGACGGTCGAAAGATCAGTTATCGATCATGATCGGCAATCAAGACTTCGATCGAATGATTATTCATGTTTATGACGTCGTGGTGCCACATTTTCGGCAATTTTTACACCAAGTGCCTTTCGGGTAGGATTTTTTGAGATTAAGAACCAAATCAGAGATAAACGCTGCAATATAGTCAGCCAATTTCAAGGTTTGGAGGTTATTTAAATGCATCAAAGTTTCGTATCCTTGACAGATTTTTAAAAACAATGAAGTCTTTGACTCAACAAAATGCTTTTGGCATTTAACATTCTTTTGTTCTATTAATTTGTTCCTGAGTTTAACAAGCTTCATTAATTAAATTGACATTATTCAATTTCAATGCGATTTCTATAAAATATTGGATTACTAAGTGGATTATTAAGGAATACTATGGGGTGATTGAGGATATTATGGGATTAAAAAGTGGCAATTCATTTTGGTGGTATTTTGTGTGCTGTTGAGTCAAAGACTTTGTAAAAAAAATCCAACAAAACTTCTCAAAAATCACAAAATTCATAAATTTTAGAGCAGTCATTTAAGACTAGGCCATGAATATAATACCAGATCATATCCAATAAGTCAATAACTCTTTACCAATTAAAAATTACCAAAACATCTCCAACTGCTACTGACGCGCTCGATGCTTCGGTGACGAAGTTGGAGAATTGAGTGATGATGAACGTGCCACTAGTGACAACCTCGATCCACTTGATCCACTAGATTTACCTAAATATATAACAGATCCGGTCGATGGTCTTCCAATGTTATTTAAATCAACACGCGAACTATGTGCTGAGGTGGGTGCTGAAGGTGAACCTTGATAACAAAAGAAGAGTCAGTAAGAAGCACAAAACAGCAATAAAATAAAATTATAATAAATTATTTTTTTTTGTTGTTTTTGTCTTTGTTTTTTCCCATAAATTAATAATTATAAACTACCAACCTGTATACGAATTATAACCGCTACGCTGTTGTTTATATGTGTTACTATAGCTACTGGAACTACGATAAAGTCGGCTAGATTCATTATTCATATTTGATGAGGATGAATTGAGTGCTGAATGAAGACTAGCTGATGATGGAGTTGCAGGTAAATATTTAGAATGTCGGGGTGATGTGGGACATGAAGTTGAGCCCGTGGACCGACTAGATTGAACACTTAAACGACTAGATGTGGAAGCTGTTGATGGTCGACGACGAAAGATGCCGCCTGTATATTTTGCATCATGATTCATGCGACAGACGCCTGAAGAAAATTCGATTGTTTTTTTTTCAGCATTTATTTGGAATGTAAAAAAATTTTTTATTTCCTTTTTTTTGGGTACATTAAATCGCAAAGTATAAAATTGATTCTCTAACAGAACTAAATTTGTGAAAAACTTAATGACTAGAAAAAAAGTGATTTTTTTTTAATTTTGTAGCTTTTAATGGATTTATTCATGATGATGACTTGATGGGGCTAAAAACGACTGATTTCAAAATATGCAAACTTTTCATTTTCTATGACTTTTTCGTCTAAAAATAAAAAGAAAAATGAAATAAAAAAAATGTATCAAGCGATAATATGATATTTTGTCGATTGTCTCAATTGATTTTTTGTTTTTTGTTCATGATTGGTGATGAATAAGCACACAATTTTACAAACGAGCATGAGGTGGGAATGTGGGGAGATGCAATTATTGATGATTTACGTGTTTGTAAATTGAAATTGAGATTGACACTAATCTATCATAATAAAGTTGACAGGAATAATTTGGTTTATTGGTAAATCGATTAAGAATGGATAATTTTTGATTCAATATGTCAATGATAAATTATTGGTATAAATTTTGCACTTGGAAATAATTGGAAATAATACCTTCAACAGCAGAGTTGATAGCTATGTGGATTGAAATTAAATCCCGATCGACACACGTTGAAATTCATTGAAATGTTTGCCATCCGTCAGCTGCTGCCGCTTGGTTCTAATTATACTATCAACTTGAATCGGCTAACTTGAAATTCTGAGCTTCCTATAGTTACATGCTGACAAAATATTACACAGAATCATAGTAAAACATGGGGCGTGAATCATAGGACCGACCGAATTTTCGGCCGAACTTCTGCTGAACTCCAGCCGAAATTTTTTGAAATTTCGGTTGAAATTTCGGCCGAAATTAGACAGAAATCTTGAATTTCTTTTTAAAAAAGTAAAATTTTATTAATTTTTTTGTATGAGCCGAAGTTTTTGACGAATTAAAACTATTTCGGCAGAAACTTCGCCCGAAGTTTGTTTTAATTTCGGCTCAAATTTCGGCCACAAACTTGAATTTTTCTTGAAAAAAAATTATCTAAAACAATAAATCATCTTTATCTAATTCAATTTTTTAAAAAAAAAAACATTTTTACACTTAATGTTACTTTATAATATTTAGCATTAAATTATAGCTGTAGTTTATTGGGCTTAAATAATAGCACTGATGATGTGTTTGAATCAAATTTCTCGAATTTTGCTTGACTATGATTTTTCCTTTTACAAAAAGTCTGGTCAAAAAGGAGTTTGCACGTTAAAAAATTTTAATCAAAAATTATTTCAAGACACAACTAAAGTACCAAAGTAGTAGTAAAGTACTAGGAATTACTCTGTTATTTAAATTTTTAATTAAAATATTGTTACGATTAAATAATAATGAAGATTAATCGGTGTTTCACTAAGGTCGATAATTCACTGATCGGATTATCCACTTTTTCAATCCGAGGATAATCCCCAAATTTTTGTACTACGTTAAACTACACGGTGAATCAGAAAAAATGGATTTAAAGAAAATAATTTTTTGGTTTACACAAGATTTCGGCCGAAGTTTCTGCCGAAATTGTTTTAATTCGTCAAAAAACTTCGGTTCATACAAAAAAAATAATAAAATTTTACCTTTTTAAAAAGAAATTCAAGATTTCTTTCTAATTTCGGCCGAAATTTCAACCGAAATTTCAAAAAATTTCGGCCGGAGTTCAGCAGAAGTTCGGCCGAAAATTCGGTCGGTCCTATGACCCACAATCTAAAACATGTAAAGTTCAATTTAAATAATTGCAATGGGCGTTGAATGGCTTTTTTTATCAAAAAAAATCAAAAATTGAGTTAAGCCGAAAAAATCGGCTTCGATCTCTGGTTTTGAAAGTCGATACTGATCATGTTTCAGAGTAGATTTGGTTCGATCCTCTAGTCTTTAATTTGAAGTCAACTCTAGTATTATTTTCTAGTGTTCACTAAGATATAGATATCAATAGTATCTAGTCCAGTAGCTCGTAATTTAAACTTTAAAAGATTCAAAAACTCAAATCTAGTCCAAGACAAAGCTAGCTAATGTATATATAAGTTTTCCCTACTCCAACAACTCTACAATCCATCAACAGGTAAGGAGCAAGAAGAATCACCACTTGACATACTGAATGAGTCAGTCTGTGCAGCAACAAAACACAAATTATCCATCACAACAATAAAAACCCATTAAAATTGAAAGAACAACATTTTGATAAATGACATCACCTCACATTAGTAAGAATGAGGAATGTGGAATTATTTTCAAGTAACAATATCCAAAAACCTCAACGAGAAACCACCCCTCAAACTGTATTGCATGCATGAACCTCACCAAGTAATTACAAACATGTATTTATATGGAGAAGAAAAAAAAATCGTAGAGTATGAAACCAAAGCATGATGGTAAATAATGAATGAAGCAATAAAAGCACATTAAATATAAATGGATTGTACACACTCACCTGTTGGACAGTTCTCATTTCGCTTACAATTAAAATGACACAAATCACGAGAAGTTATTAATGCATCAAAGTGGACTAAAGCTCTCTCTATATACACCTGATCATTTTCACGTACTAAAATATAATGAGGAAATGATGAAGTAAATGTTAACATTAAGTCATGCAAATCAACTTCTAGAACTATTTTTTTATTAATTTATTTTGGCTATGACGATGCAGAATAAATAACATCCGCGAAAATTCAATTTATCAACTAGAATTTTTGGTGGCGCTACTCATATCAATAGTGCAGACATGCCTCAACCCCAGCAATCTCAAAAGCTCATCATTCATTATTCAATCGAGTTTATTGGCCTCAAGATATGTAGGCTAAAAAGGCATATCCATTACACAAACCATACATCTTCTTTGAGCTTTAGTAAATCTCAGTGAATGAATTTTTTATTGGCAATATCCGTAAAGGATGTGCGAATGCTAAGGAGATCCTTGAAGTGGCCTTGAAATTTCCTTTTCGTCACCTTAAACTGCCAGATGAGTTCTTTCCAGAAAGTTTCGTGATGAAGTTTGTGGATTGGTTTGTAATTTTGATGAGATTTTTATGGTTTTTGGCGCTGAATTTTGATGGCATTTTTGAGGAAGGCTTTGTGGGGAATTAGCTTTGAAGTTGGTTGATTTCAAGAGCTGGCCACTCATGTTCTTCGTCAACGTTGACGTCAATTTTAGATTCTCCTTAATTAAGGTTCTACAATAATACGAGTGCTCCAAACAAAGTTTGTTCTTGAATTTGAGCAGTCACAGCTAACGCGAATGACACAAGTTGGTTAATCGATCGGCACCAAGCCTGTATGAATTGGGTATGGTGCTGGATTTAAATCGAAGCTAGCACCATGCCAGAGTCAAGCCGGCTTGTCGCTGGATTTCTATTCGGATAACCAACTTGTACTATTTGAGTAAAGAACTTAATAAATCCTTCAAATAACCACAACAAAAATTCAAAACATTGCTGACTTCACAAGGCAAACTCATAAAACCACGAAGCCTAACATTCCAACATCAAGAATTTCCAGGGATATCCGGAACATACCAGTAAGGAGGAGGAATAAATTTGCTACAGGTGGATGAACTCAAATTCAAGGAAAATAAGCTATTTCCTCAAAAAGCTACACGTCAAACGAGAAATTGCGTGTTTAGGCTTAATGGAAAATTGCGGTAAGTTTCTGGCGTAAATTATTTTTAAAACTAGAAAATTCTGTGTGGCTCGTGGATGTGAATTTCAATTTATGCTTTAGATTGGGAAGATTTTAGAAGAATGGATGTAGATACGGACTGCCTACTACTCCTCCCACAAGATTAGCTTGAGAAATTGTTGATATTTCTTATTGTTTGGAGATAGATTGAATTTATTTATGGACTAAAATGTCTTTAATCTGGTAAAGTAATTAAAAATAGAAACTAGGTCCGTCGAAAGATAGGAAATTGAATTAAAAGCTGACCTCATTTATCATAAACTATCTCAGATTAATATTAGTTTAATAATCAGTTCTTTAATATTTGATATCCCAGGTGGTCTTCGTTACGATAATCAATAGCTTTCTTGCCAAAAGATTTACATAAATTATTTTACTCCTTAGCATTTAAAATTCAATGAAGAATGGGAGATGTCTCTGACGTCTGTTATTAACATTCAATGTTTGCAATCAGTTACTGCGCCATTCTTTAACCTTGTAAGAATTGCCAAAAACAATGCTTCGGATCACAATACCCTTTATGTCTTACATTCAATGGTAAAAACCAACAATTCAACAAAAAGTAAAACTATAGAAAAAAAAACTCCACACTTACTTGCCAAACTAGGATATCGTTCCTTCATCCTCCTCCTCTCATCATCCACCCGATTGTGCTCAAAATCCTGTAGTTGTAGTTGAAATCCAGAATTAGGATTGGCAATTTTACGACCAACACGGACAACCCGCAATGCATCACGCCAACACAAATGGGAAACACTCATGATATACGCGACACTAAAATAATAAGCATACAGCATGTTGATAATTTAATTTTGAAATATTCATACTTACCATATCGTCACCTACATGAAGCATGACATGAAAGTAATAGAAAGAAAATAATTATTTTGAGGTCATGGAAAATGAGATTAAGTCCTTACACTCCTCGACATGCCGGCTAAGCAATGTATGAGCACATTACAATCCTGTCGTAATCGTGCACCATGAATGAAGTCATTACACACCGAAAAGAATTGCGATAGATCCTGTGGAACACAAAAGGGAGTAAAGGATTAACTTCTGTAAATTCTCTTTGTTTGTCCAATTTACTTGATCAGGATTATCAGCAGCCATAACACACAAATAATGCTTCTCGGGAAATAAATGCTTTGGATTATCATGAACTGCTAGTATATGAGTTATTTTGTGCATTTCTAATTGATTTAAATCCTTTGAATCCCTGTAGTTTCCAATATATATACCTGGAAACACCTACAAAAAGACACATTATCCTCTTAATCAGGTATCATCCGTACGAAATCAGGTACTTACCTTATTCATCCCATTTCCCATGGCTTTATTTATTTTTATTCTAGAAAATCCACTAGAAGTTGAAGAGATTTATTCTGTTTGTGGTGGAAATTGAAACTAATCCTCTCGAAACAAAATAAAAAAGTGCTTTTATTTCAAGGACATCAAAATATTCAAGTTTGGGGTCCTCATCTCATGACGACTTTAATTCCATTTTATTCTCAAACTTTTTCCTTTTTTTTCTTTTTTGCGTAGGAAAATAAAATTATTCTAATTGAATTATCGCACCCGCGAAACAACACATTAATAATTAAATATCACAAAAAAATTATTTTTTTTTCTCTCGTTTTGACTAAAGTCCTCTTTTTATATTATATGCCTTGTGCCTTGATCGATTTTTCTTGTATTTTCGCTTATTTTACAAAAAAACATGATTGATTGTTTCACTTTTGATATATTTCATCAATAAGAATCGACATTGAATTCTAAACACTTATTGAGTTGTACGATTGAAGGAAATTATTGCTACATTTTCATACTTAAAAAACTAGGAAGAAATTATAAAAATGAAAAAAATTTCTCCTTTCCACTGTCAAAACACACCGAAAAAGTAGAAAAGTTGTGAATGAATGAGAATGAAGAGAAAAAAAAAGTTCATTTGTTGTTTATTTTTTTCCTGTAGCAGATTATAACAGTTGTGAAAGTCGAGACACATTTTGTTGTCAAAAAGCTATATCGGTTTGTGTCTTGGGTTTGTCTTAGTGTGGTGAGTTTGTTTTCTACATGAATTTACTGTTTTAGACGTTTTTTACTTATGAATCTTTAAGCTTATTTGATTATTAAACTAGTTGCAAGTCGGCTGAGCTTACTACTAGTTCAATTGGTTTTCTACATCAATTCTTATTTACTTGACAATCCAAACTCTATACAAAATCCCAATTCAATCTCTTAACACAAAAAAAAACTGCCATTCTATACCTTCGTCCAACTTCTTCTTTTTACCCATCCAAATGTCTGTCTAGCTGATTGAAAGGCCATTTTCTCTTTCATGTGTTCTTACAACTCTCTTTAAAAAGGAAACATTTCTCCCTTACACTTTTTTGATTAATGATTCACATTCTAATTCTGATAAAGTCTGAATGTTCTGAGTGTGTTGCAATAGATGAGAATTTTTGAAATTTTTTTTGAATTTTACCCTTAGCAGTGAGAACTGCTTTGAAATGGTCAAATTTTTGGGAATATTACATTGAAGATATTGAGGATGGAGCTTCAAAAGCGCATTTGTCTAGGTTAGACTCTAGCTTATTTGAATTATCGTGCTCTACTTTATGTTACTAGCCTGATTCCCGAGCCAACGTTGATCAGAGCTGTAGGTTTGTTTTGATCTAGTAGAACTAGATTTGTTGGTATCTTGTCTTGGTAAAAATCACAAATTTGAGAATGCAAGGTTTCGAACTAATGACTTTTGAGTTACAACACTTAGTTTGAACCAAGCTCCTTACCAAATCCGTCATAGAGGCTCTTAACTGAATTCAGAGTAGTATCACTATGAACCTATCTTAAAGATTGGATTTTAATAACCTCAGTGGTTTGAAAAGTAAGTTTTCAGCTCGATCGAATATACAGAAAGAGTGTCAGGACAAAGAACAGATATATAATAAGGATGTAAATCAGAAGAGTGGCCATTTAGACATTAAAGTGTATACATCATCTCTTTTTGGGGGTAATATATGAAATTCATCACCCACAACAACAAAAAAAACACCAATTTTAATGCAAACAAATTTTCACTTTTTCTACTTCTTGTTGAAATAAAATTAAATCTCATCAACATAATCACATTATGTCCCTACTTTACTTTCAATTGTCAACACTTCTCATCCTTTTGTCTATTCATTTAATTCTTCTCGGTCATTTTGTAGTGTGTTTATTTGGATGGCAGCAAATGACATTGAAGATTGTATGTGAAAATTTTTTAGCTCCACTTGAGGTTAAACAAATTGAAGTATGAAAATTGAAAATCATTGTTGTATCATAAATTAGTTTAAGCTGTTGAATAGTCTCGCTTGGATGTTATTGAATTACTCAGTCAGAATTGCATCATTTCATTCATAAAAAAAAATAAAATTTAGATAAAGGAAGGTATTTTGAAGATTTTTCTTTAAGGCTATCGATTTTTTTTAAAAGAGTGATGAAATGGAGATTTAAGAAGGAAGAAAGGTTTGAAAATTTAATGAATGAAATCATTTTGTTCGAGAGTATTTTATTTAAAGGGAAGTTGATCATTGAATTAAGAAGTTTTCTTTACAGAAAATTCAAGATTTCAATGCTTAAAGTTCAATTCAATGTTGAGTCTCACTCATTCTTTCAAATAGTTTTAAATTTAGTAAGATCTGATCGGACTAGTGCTTTATCTAAGAAGATCTTGTTAAGTTTGCCCTAACGAGACTAACTTGCAAATTGCTAGTCTTTCTATTCTACAACTTGCAATTTACTAGTTATTATTAAAACAACTTACGGTTAATAAATTACACTTGCTATTTACTAGCAAATTACCATGTAAAATGTTTGATCAAGTCTGCTTAAGTTCGAACCCTACGAAAAATCATCAAAATAAGAAATTTTTTGCGTCATAAAAAGAATTTTTTGCGTCATAAAAAGAATTTTTTGCGTCATTAAAAGAATTTTTTGCGTCATAAAAAGAATTTTTTGCATCATAAAAAGAATTTTTTGCGTCATAAAAAGAATTTTTTGCGTCATAAAAAGAATTTTTTGCATCATAAAAAGAATTTTTTGCGTCATAAAAAATTTTGTTCTAAATTTGGCTTTTGCCATATACTTCACAAGAGCGCGCAGAAATCACCTTTATAAACTCGATACAAATTTGTATATGACTTTCAATTAATTATTTATCTTCCTCAGGTTTGCGTGCGAGTCATGGGCGTTCATCAGTGTTCGACTTAATTAAATTAAGTCTTTTATTTTTTTTCATAGTGTTAGTGTACTTTAATTAGCTTTAACTAAGTTCACACTAATACTTTTACAATAATTTACACAAATAAGAAAAATCAAAAGAACACATGGAAGTCAACGATTATATTCATTTAATTTTTTACAAATTTACTAGTAAATTACTAGTTAAATTGTAAACGAATTTACTAGTCAATTAGCAAGCGAAAATACGGGTCTTTGGTGAAGATTTGAACTTGGATTTTGACTAGTAAATAGCAAGTAGCAAATGGAAAGTTATCCAGTAAATTACTAGGAAATTACTAGTAAATTTCTGATCGGGTTGATCTTATACAGTGGTTTTAATTCAAAATACTTTTTCGAAGAATCTTTATGAAAAGAAATCAAAAACAATATCTTTAAGCAATAAACACAGCAGTTTGATATAGTCTTTGTTGAAAACCTGCAGAAAAGTCGTCATTTAGTAAGAAAGTACATCAATATCCTTTGAAATTTAACAAATAGTCTTTAATTTACTTACCAAAAGTTCAGATTTCAACAGATTCTACTTTAAGAATCTTTGAAGAATAAGATTTGGCAACAAAAATGATTCAAACTTTAAAATAACACACAAATTTAATTAAGTTTTAAGAGACAAAACAATTTTGTGAACAAATGAAAATTTTCTTTGTTTCCTTTGATGCGAAAATTCTGCTTCATAATTTTTGAATTTCAAATATCCGTTACAAACAGTTTTCTCAAAATTTCAATTACTAAATTGCCTAAAAAACTTTTTTAAAAAAGCACGCTTTTATTTCCGATTACAGTGCACTAAAAAGGAGAAAATAATTTTTTTCTGAGAACTCAAATTTGATACAAAATTTTATGACTAAAAATAAAAGCGTGGGGCGTTCAATTAAAACCATCTCTAGATTTTCTATAATATATTCACAAACCTAATGCTTGTGTAAACATATATGGATTATTTTTAACTGTCACAAATTCAAGATTTAGTGAAATATGCAAGAGCGCCCCACGCTTTTATTTTTAGTCATAAAATTTTGTATCAAATTTGAGTTCTCAGAAAAAAATTATTTTCTCCTTTTTAGTGCACTGTAATCGGAAATAAAAGCGTGCTTTTTTAAAAAAGTTTTTTTATACTATTTTATTTTCTACTTTTTAGTCTTATCAAATCTATAAATCAATTTAACTTCCAAAATTTGGAGCTTTTGTTTCATTACAACCCTGACTTTATCATACTTAATAAGGAGGTTGCAGTTTTTTGATTACAGGAAGTTTTAGACTCCACTTCGTTTCACTCCGTTTCGTTCAACTATTTATAAATTACCAGTTTTTAATGGGTAATTAGTAAAGACTATCAAAAATTTTCATTTGTTTTAAATTATTTATGTCCTAACTTCAATTAAAGATTTTGTGTTTATCCGTACCATTCCTACTGCATAACATGTAAATTCTTAACATAAAGATGCAAATCACATCTATATATAACGGATTTTTCAAATTTAAATTCAATGACTGTCATTTATATGATATGCAAAAATACGTCAAGCCGTTAATTAATAGAAAAGTCAATTTAATTAAATATTGGTGAAGTGTTATGATATAATGTAAAACATTAAAAACAGCATAAATATATGCTCAATTTATGTGTGCTAAACGAATATCTCATATTTATAGTTATTTTGCATTAATTCGTAACGGACTTTTGCTTAACGGTTTTTTTGAAAATTCAAATTTTCACTTACGTATATTCATGAAAAAATTACTTGTCAATTTTTTTGTCTTACCCGAATATCTTTAGCTGCTCAAATTTATAGTATAATTAAAAATTAGTAATATTAATTAAACTATAATGAATCATATAAATGACTTTTGAGCATTTCAAGGATAATATATTAAACAAATCAAAATTTTATGTCATTGACAATGGATTTTTTCCCATATAAAAAAGATTTACTTAAATTGTACTATAATTAAGCAACTTTGTGGTTCCAAGGTGTTAAAATAATGAATTGTCACCGGGAATACGTGTGCATTAAAAATTTGAGCTCGATTGGAGCAGTAGAAGTGATCGAAAAATCGATTACAAGATTTGACGCTCCATAACAGAGTGAGTTAAATAAAAGCGTGTAAAATATCAATTAATTGTAGAAATTAATTCCCAAACTCATTCTAATCCAACCAAATGTTCAAAAATAACCAAAACCCATCCAAACCTTCACTTACCTCCCAAACCAAACACAATCCAAAAACCAATTGAAAATTCCCATCAACAACCACAAATTGACTGCACAAAGAATTCATCAATCTTCAATTTTGCACAAAAGAACATTCTATAAATACCTTAAATTGCAAAAAAAAACATTTTTTCATTTATTGCGAAAATTACTATCAATTTACTTCAATTTAAGACGCGAAATAAGCAGCATGAACAATGTTGCTGAATGAAAACAAAAATTCACAGCGGATGAACATTTCGTCGCTATTTATTTACCGACGGGAGTTCATTTAATTTATTACAAGATTTAAGTATGAAAACTTTAATTGTGGATTCGAGTGGAATTCTTGCAGATTCATTGTGGATTTTTTGTGGAGGTAGGAAATTTTTTCAGGGAGGCACTTAAATATTTTATGCAG